GTACAAGATCCCAATGACAAATGTAACTGTACTGTATAGCTAAAATGTACCAATAAACTCAATGAGAGAGAAAAGAAAGAATAATAGTCCATCTACTCAGAATTGTGATGACAAAGATAGGTGTAATGGCACCTGAAATCCCAGCACTCCAGAGGCCTAGGGAGAAGGACCGACTTAGCCTGGGCTAAAAGACCTTGTCTCAAATAATAACAAAACCACAAATTGTGAGGATGAAATAAATTACCAGAGTAACAACTTTATCAGCTGTAGACACAATCAAGCTGAAGAATAGGTTCAGTATTCCTCATGTGCAAAGTGTGAGATAAGCAACATTTCAGATTTCTTTTCCCATTTTGGGGGGCAGGAGGGGCTTAAACCCAGGGAAATACTCATGCTGAGCAAGCACAACAGTCACTGAGCTACTTCTTGATGATCCGCCCTTTTGCGATAAGTTCTTGCTAAATTGTCCAGGCTGGCTTTTTTTCTTTATTTTTTTGGTAGCAGGGATAAAACTCGGGACCTTGCACTTCCAAGGTTGGCAATGGAACCACTGAGCCAAATCCCCAGCCCCAACATGGCTTTTAACTTGAAATCTCCTACTTCAAACTCCCAAGAAAGAGATTACAGGCATTGCCACCAAGCCCCACTCAAGATTTTTTAAACACTCGCACAGATTTCACTAGTTCAGCATCCGTAATTTGAAAACCTGAAACTTTTTCAGCATCATTTAGGTGCTGGGAAGTTTCCAATTTGAAGCATTTCAGGTTATGGATCTTCAAACTGAGAATGGTGGCACAGGCCTACTACAACCCCAGATATTGGGGGGCTCAATCAGGAGAATCCCAAATTTTGAAGCCAACCTATTTAGAGACCATCTCAAACTAAAAAGGTCTATGACTTTTTATAGACTATGATGCCACATACCTGTAATCCCAGTATGCAGAAGGCTGATCAAGGCCAGCCTGAACTATATATTGCCATCCCATCTCAGACTATTAGTTTAGGTAGGTAGGTTTAGGGATGTAAATCATTGGTAGAGTGCTTGCCTGATACCAAGGAGACCTTGGGCTCAATCCCCATTAATAAAAAAAATGGTGGATTTTCAATTTAGCAACATTCAATCTTTTTACATTTTTCCCTTATCAAAAATAAATTGGGCATGTAAAAAGAACGAGTAACTTCCTAGTTCCCAATCAGTTCTCATTTAACCTAGCCTCTTCAGACTTAATTGCTAACTCAGGCCTTCTGCTTTTCACAAGACAGACTGCTTATAACCTAACTTAATGCCTTACATGCATTCTTGGTCCTCATGAGTGACACCTCCTAATAAGAGCCAGTAAGTACTTCCTCAGAAATAAATCTAATTTTCCAAAATCAACAGATTCTTGTCCCCAAGATAGACTAGATCTCAAATAACCCTGTAAGATTCCTGCCTTTTGCTTCACACATTTTGGGTAACTATTTTCCAATAGGTCTTGCTCCAAACTTAAACTTTTTTCCCTTTATCTGTGCTTTCAGATGTAACCTGATCTTGGCTTGACCATCACAGCCCCTTTACTGCAGGCACTCTCACCCTACCTAGTCTAAATTTAGTTTACTTCATCGTAGCGATGTTTTTCCTTCATGCATCCAGTGCAATTTCTTTACACTTCCAAAAGGAAAGGTGACATTTTGTCCATCCTTATATGCCCAAATCTAATGATGGTTTTCCAGAATAAGGACTCAAAGGTCTAACAAGCATCTCTAGTTGAGATGTTCTTTCTATGAGCATCTCAAAATTCAATGCTTAGTACTTTTTCTCTCACCCTCCCTTCTCAACCCTACATTGCTACCTATTTACACTCTCCAATGTCTAACTCCATTCCAGGAGCTAATAACCCTGAATCATACCAAATCTATTTTTCATACACCATGTTGGTTTTTTTTTTTGGTACCAGGGATCGAACTCAGGTCCTTGTGCGTGCAAGTCTGGCAGCGGAACCACTGAGCCCCACCATATCAATGTTAACACCAAGTATTCTTAAATTACCACCTAATCTCCAATTTCTGTAGCAGTTATCTTTTTGGGGGCCAGGTCATCATCGAGTTTAAAAAAAATCTCCTACTTCGTCTTATTTTCCTATATGCCATTTCCTCACTTCTCTAACAGTAGTATTTCTAATAAAATCCTGGTATCATTTGCCAGTCTGGAATCCTCAAACTGGGTGTGGTGGCACACAACTGTAATCCTAACACTCAAGAAGCTGAGGCAGGAAGACTACCATGAGTTAGATAGAGGCCAGCCTGGGCTAGTGAGTTCAAGGGCAGCCTTAACAGCAATACCCTGGTTTCAAGAAGAGTCTTCAATGGCTCACTACTAGAAAAAATAGAAACTCCTGCCGGGCACAGTGGCTCACGCCTGTAATCCCAGCACTCAGGAGGCTGAGGCAGGAGGATTGCTGAGAGACCTGCCTGGACTACATAGTGAGTTCCAGGTTAGTCTCAACTACATAGTGAGACTCCGTCTCAAAACAAAACAAAACAAAACAAAAAAAATACAAACTCCTTAGCATGGTACTGAAATTTTATGATCTGGTTTTGCTTTGTTTTTGAGACAGGGTCTCACCACACAGTCTATATAGGCTGGCCTAAATTCAGTATGTAAACCTGGCCAACCTCAGACATGCTACAATCCTGCTTCAGCCCCGCGAGTGCTCAGGTCATAGGCCTGAGCCATATCTGGTTTTAACCTAAGATTCAGTTCAGCGTTTTTTTGTTTTTGTTTTTGGAACCAGGGATTGAACTCAGGTCCTGGTGCTTGAGAGGCAGGTAGTGGAAACAGCTAAATCCCCAGCCCGTAGGATTCAATTCAGTTCACATCCTCTTAAAATCGTTCACTGACTGACCCCTTGAGTCAATTTGGTACCCATTTTTGCATGTTTCTACAGTATTCCTGCTTACTGCTAATCATGGTACTACCATTATCTCATTCACATTTCCCTCAGTAAGCTTGTCTCTTAAAGCTACTAATACTTATATCCCCCAACCAGAAAAATGAGATATAAAATGACCTTTTCAGGAATATGGAATAAAGCACGCCAAATCTAAAGAAAATTGTCACACAACAACCAAAAATAAGCGGGCATCAATACAATCTTGACCCTTAATAAAGACTTCATTCATTTTTCCAGAGATATAATTCTGGAACTTGTGCTTTCACTTTTTTCTTCCATTGTTTTCTTTTTATTTAAATGAAACTTCATTTGACTAATTTTATTTTTCTGGTTCACATGGATGGGAAAGGGATTAAGTATGTGATTTATTGCTCTAGCACCCCAGCACTGAATATGCCTTTTAAAAAGCCATCCCATGTATCTTCTCCAGGTCAAAGTCTATTGCAGCAACCTTAAAGTAGTTATTAAAATATTCCACTGTAGAGCCAAGCATGGTAGCACATGTCTGTAATGTGACACTCAGAAGGTTAAGGCAGGAACAAGACTGCCTCAAAAACAATGAAAATTTCACTGTAGTAACTAAAATACCTAAGGTCACAAAAATCCTTAACTCTATTCATAACTTCATTGATCTTTCCCCTTATCCTCATAAAAATACATGAGGCAGTAGACAGGTTTATAAGCTAAAAGGCTCTTCCTACCATCAAAGCAAGTACACTAGACTGTCCAATAGATAACGCCCTCAAACCAACAATGAAAAAGAATCCAGTCCTAGATACTTAATTCAGATGCAGAAATTAATTTAATCTTCCTGCTATGAGATTAAAAACCCTATCTTCCTTTTTTTTTTTTTGGTACCAGGGATCGAACTCGGATCCTTGTACTTGCGAGGCAGGCAACGGAACCACTGAGCTAAATCCCTGGCCCCCTTCCCTATTCTTAACTCCTAAAAAAAACATTCTATTTATAATATGTCTTTTGTGGCTTGATTCACGTTAAATTTACTTAAGGTAAATACAACCCAGAATACTGCCACAAACCTAAAGATTAAGTGATACAAAAAGGGCTCCCTAGAAATGTCCTTGCCTTGTTGAAAAGCAAGACATTTCAATTTTAAGTAAATTTCAGCTTTTTCTAATTACAAAAAAACTCTCTAATCAGCCCCAGTTAGTTTAAAACTCATTGTTACAGTAGTTTACAAGTAACTGAGGATGCCTCTCTGGAAAACATCACAAGATGTATACCCAAAAGGGTCAACCCAAACAGTTCCAGAGGATATAACCTATCACATCAACTAAAATGAGTCTCTTTCCTAGTGTTTGCAATGAAACCAAGTGGACCTTACACCTCTTACCATCACCCAGGAAGGGTGTGCATCTGTTCCGAAGGCCCCCCTGGCTCCAGGTCATCCTGGCTGATGCTGCTCCAGGCTGGGCATCCATGTTGCTGCAGCTTGTGGTTTGTGAGGAGTAGTGTACAGGAAAAGCAGGATGGGATTTCAAGGGAAACAGGAGGAAGATGGCTTTCCAGGAAAATGCCATCACTATAATAGGTGTTAAGTAGTACCACACACATTTTATTGCAGCACAGTTTAAAAATTTAACAAATGAAAGATTAAAAATAAAAAAACAAAAATAAAAAAAATTAAAAATACAGACGTCCAGAGATGCTCTAAAACAGTTAAGTTAAAGATCAGGAAAAATAAGGTCACAGACTTAACAGCCAGTAAAATTATTGCCAGTGTGGGGAAGGGGTTGAGGGCAAGGGTGAGGTTGGGAGAGAAGGTTTACGTGATCAATCCACTTAAAAATGCTAATGCCTTTGCTTTCTCTCCCAAGATGTATTAAAACTTCAAAGTTAATCAGGAGGCCGAAGAAATTCTTACAAACATTCAGAAAAACTCGATTTTAATCCGGTTAAAAATCATCAGTGTCATTATCATCATCATCATCACCATCATAAGTATAATAATAGTAATAATAATAATAGTAAATAACTAGTAACAACAATAAAAAGGAAATCAGCGGAAAGTCAGGAAAAATGTAAAAAAAAAATGGAATAACTTACTGTAGCTGAAGATCAAAAAAATCTCACTGTAAAAAAACAAAAATAAAAATAGTCCAGATTAGAAAAACGGGAGGTGAAAAAATGTCAAGTAAGTAAAGTTCATTTCTTTTCTTTCCAAAAGCAGTTTCCATGAAAACCGCAAGGGTAATGTTCTCAGTAGCAGACAAGCAAAGCCCTTTCCACATCATCCATTAATCTTAAAAATACACGAGGAAATAAGAGAGGTCAGTTTATAAGAGGCTAAAAGGCTCCTCCTCTAACCCAACTGCTAAAAAATAGAAATATTAAAAATTACATCTTAAATCCAAGTCCCGTTTTTGGAAACAATTAAAAAAAAACACCTGTAAATTTGCTGTAGTGCACATCATGTTGCATCATTATGTATAAAATGTCTTTATAAAATCATTTTGAAATGGGAATGTGTGTGTTCTGAAAGGGTGGGGAAAGGAGGTTAAAAATCAAAGCTGAGCTCCAGTGAGTAGGGATGGGGTTCGCCTTGCTGCCCTGTGAAAGGAGAAGGGACAGATTGAGTCAGAGTTCCTCAGAAATGTTGTGCCCTAACCCCTGACAGAAACATCTGTCTATTGCATCTAATACATTTTGGTAAAGCATAACATTTCACTGGGATGGGAAGAGCCTTTATAGAATCATCACTTTTACCAGTGACTGTCTTGACAATTCTTTAACATCAATAGCTAAAATTAAATATGTCAACATTCCCTTAGGGACTCTAAAAGAGAATACACTTCAACATTTATGTTGATAATCATCAGTTTGGGCAAGGAAAATAAAAGAACCAGGCTAACACAGAGATAAAGAAGTGAGCAAATGTCAAATATTGAGAAGGTAAGCAGATTTGTGGGTTTTAAACTTTTAAGCCTATGTACTTTTTCCTATAAGTTAATACAGACCAAAGGCAAATGGTCTACCACAAAGATAAACACGAGATGACTCATCTATTCTCAAAACCAATGACTGGGCTTGGAATGGTGGTGCATGTCTGTCATTCCAGCTACTTGGGAAGCTTGAGGTAGAAGGACCCCAAGTTTGAGCCCAGCCTGGACAACTTGGCGAGACCCTCTCCCAAAATAAAAGGACCAGGGATATATGAAGCCTTGCCTAACACTGGCAAGGGCCCTAGGGTCAACCCCCAATACTGAAGAAAGAAAAAAAGAAAAAGAGAGAATGAGTGATAAAACCACAAGGCCTGATGGGGAAAAGATGTTATAAGGAGCCTTTCTGTCTGCTGACCATGAAATACCACACATATGAAGGGAAAAGCTTACTGTGGCCACTGGGTAGTTAATGTTATAAACAGATGAAAATATTACGGTCCTTGTGGAATTTGTGGTTCACATCTCAGCCATAGAGATACAGATATATACACAGCACTAATTACAAGTTATAGAGTAAAAGAATCTGATTATCTGATACAAACCGGTTATATTAACTAGAAGAACTGCAAATAGACTGTAGTTCACTGTGCAAATAAGCATGAAATGGTTGCATTCCCATTTCAATATTTAGTCATGAGGTCGTCGTATTCTTCCTTACAGATTTCAGTAAACTCGAGCCATCTTTTTTTTTGGGGGGGGGGTAGAGACAGGGTCTCGCTAAGTAGTTCAGGCTGGCCTTGAACTCACTTTGTAGCACAGGCTGGCCTCAAATACATGGCAATCCTCCTGCCTCAGCCTCCCCAGTGCTGGGATTACAGACGTGCGCCACCACGCCCAGCTTAAGCATCTTAAACTGAGTGGGTCCTTGAGCCAAATATGAAAGATTACAGGTACAAAGATTTTAACTACTAATTTTTTTTAGTACACAAA